ACCCGAATCAATACATAGAAATTGTAAAACCGAAATTCATCAGATGGTTCAATTTTTTTATCAATGATTTAGTATATGTATCTCTGTGATACAGCGTGACTAATGATGTTATAAAACTCGCGATGGAAGGTTAAAATAAATTAATATTTAACCAATAAAATATTAAAAGTTAAAATTTTCCATTTTTAAAGTAAACAAAACACCACACGCACTCAATACTTGAAAAATATCGAAATAGAATTCTATTTTCTATTTTAAATACCCGCCAGATGGAGAGGGAACGGCAACGCTGCACCCATTTGCGCTACAACATCTGGCATTCGTTTCGATGAGGGTCATACTCCGGTCGGCCTTCGGCTCGTCCGACGTTCCCGCCCGAAGGCGACTTCGGGTGGGTAGAGCAAATGAACATTAGCACAAATGGGGTGATCCCGACAAACTTACCAAGACACTCAAATCAGTTAACTGGAAGAATTTTTATGGATGTGAGGATGTTGATGAATGCATGAACATTTTTTATAAAAACATAAATAACGGCATTTCTCTTTGTAAAACCACAATTAGGATACGCCACTCAGAATTCAAGCGAACTCCCTGGATAACAAATGGGCTCCTAGTGTCCGTAAATAAGAAACATGAGTTGTATCAAAAATACAAAAATAGTGGATATAATGAGGATTTTCTTAGGGAATACAAAAGATACAGAAATATGACAAATCACCTGATAAAAGAAACAATGGTAAACTACTATAAAAACCAAATTGAAATAAATAAAGACTGTCCAAAGAATTTGTGGATAAATTTAAATAAACTGGAAAACAAATGTAAAGATACTGAAATAAAGCTAATAAAAACCGAAGAAGCGAAATACCTCATAAAACATACAGATATAGCGAATTATTTTAATAAATTCTTTAGTGAAATAGGTCCTAAACTAGCATGGAAAATAAAACAGCCGGAAAAGCAATTTCATCAGAAAATTATCAATGAACAATTATCGCTTGACTTCACAAACAAACAGGAATTGACAGAATTGGTGAGAGACTTGAAAAAAAATAAAGCTCCTGGTTTGGACAATATACAAACACATTTCATAAAACGTTATAATAAATTAATCCTTGATCCATTAGTGCATATTTGCAACTTATCGATGAAGCATGGGATATTTCCGAAACCATTAAAAATAGCTAAAGTTAAACCTCTTTTCAAGTCAGGCGACAAGTGCAACGCTAATAACTACAGGCCTATATCTATTCTTTCTGGCTTCTCCAAACTCCTGGAAAAACTACTGAAAAAACGTTTTTTGAACCACCTGAAAAAACATGGTCTAATCAGTGAGAGACAGTATGGATTTCTAGAGGGCAGATCGACACAAGATGCGCTGGGTCATTTAACAAGGAAGATTTACGAAGCAGTTGGGGGGTAATAATCTATATTTCTCTCCTACGGGAAAAATGAACCCTAATGCTTTTTTGAGAAAAATAACGAAAATTTTTGACGAGGCCGGCGTACCGGATAGACACAAATTGGGTTTAGTTTTACCATGTTTGAAAGGTACAGCAGCGGACTGGGCAACGATTAAAGAAAATACATTCATGGACTTCCACGATTTCGAAGTGGCCTTCATCAATAGATTTTGGGGGGTTGACAAGCAACGAGATCTGTTTTTAGAAATCAGTTACGGGAAATTTGAGTCAGGCAATCGTTCTGAATATTTCTTAAATCTTTTCAACCAGGCTGGTTTTTTATCAACTCCAATCCCAGAACACAAATTAATATCGCTCATAAGTAGACACTTTTCGGCTGATATTCAACGAGGCATCGTGACCAGAGGTCTTAAAACGTTTGATGAAATCGATGAGTATCTTCGCGATATCGATGCGACATACGAGGACGACGGCGACCGCGGGAATCATTTTCGAAGTAATCGTACAGCGTTGCAGAGGCAGTCCCCATAATGCAACAGAGAGGCGGAGCTAACAAGTGTGTGATGTATTGTGGGTTGCATAGTAGTAGGTAATTAAAGCCTTGTTTTTTTGAGGCTTTGAAATTGTGATTAGCTAGCAGAAAGTAGAGGTACTACATGTTGTTCTTATTTCATCTGAAGAAGGAAACGCAAGTATAATAGAGGCAATATTTCCGATCATTGAATTTTTACTCAAAAATAATAAAATAAAACTCAAATCAAATAATTAGAAAAGAAATCACCTATTGTGTGCATTCAATGGACGTAATTTCTAAAATCCTGTATGTCATGTCATAACATAAACATAACCTATAAAAAAAAAAAAAAAGGTACATAGTTTTTTTTCAGAGCAAAGTTTTATCAAATGAATAAAGTAGGTAGTGGAAGTTCTATAAATAAAAAAGAAACTGAAAATTGACTACTAAAAATAGCAAAATTCCACTAAGTGAAGGCTGCGCTTGTCTTCACACAAATCACACATGCGCCTAGGAAAAAAAAATTCTACTTTTGCCTTGAAATATCGAAAAAAAGTGGGGATTTTCGAGATGGCTCCATTTGTGCTACTGTGCATTTGTGCTAATCCGCAAATGGTCTACTCACGAACGCGATCGGCTATGATCGGGATCAGTTAACATGATCGCGGAGGAGTAGCAAGAGTAGTTGAAGCTTATGAAGGTTTTGTGTACGCGGCGGGCGCGCGGAACATCTGGTGTAATCAGCTGATAATAATAAAAATAAATTAAAAAATGTATTTGTATTTAGTGAATGATTGTGGACTTTATTTTTATTAACTACAGTCTACAGTAGAGTTAAGATTTTAGAAATATATAATATACTTATTTATTAAAGCGTAGAGTCCTTGTAGAGTTTATACAGACGTGTAAAATTATTTATAAATGTAAAGTCAATAATACATATACCTATCAAAGTATCTCCCCAGATTTAAAATCATATGGGGTTGTATTATTTATTGATTTCCCAGAATATTAGGTCAATAAACCTAGCAGTCCCATATGGAAAAAAACGAAGGGATTGCTAGGTTAATATGAAATATAGCAGTCCCCTGTAGTGAAAAATATTTTTTTAAATTTTTCTTTGGTATCAGAATTTAGATAATATGCTTTTTAAAGTTCTCCTAAATACCTGGTCAAAGAAAAAATTGAATCAGTTAATTATTAACTGAATTACAGATTTTTTTTCAATATTAGGAAATTCCTGGATTCAGGTTTACTTATTGGGGGTGTGTTAGAGGCTTACAGCCAATTTCATAATCAACTTAAAGTAAACTTTAAATATAAAGGTCCATTTGAAGTAGAAAAATCCCATCCTAAAAGTCTATTTAGCTAAAGTAACTTTTAATTCTCTATCATGAAATTGGCCGTTAAACCGTTAAAGGCTGAAATGTTTTTGGATTGAATTTAGGTACCTACTATTTAAGTGCTCCTAAATTGTCAAAGAAACACTTGAATCTGTTAATTATTAACTGAATTACAGTTTTTTTTCATTATTGGCAAATTATTGGCTTCACGTTCAGTTGGTGGTGTGTCAGAGCTAAAATGTTTATGGATAGGAATTAGTGCTATTTAAGTGCTTCTCAATATTTGAAGAAAAACTTGAATCAGTTAATTATTAAACTGAAGTACAAATTTTTTTTCATTAAGGAATTGCTGGCTTTACATTTACTTGGGGATGTATTTGCATTGCAGCGAATCTGAAAACTGCGACTAAAATGTTGTATTGGAATTTGGTGCTATTTAAGTGCTCCCAAAAAGTTGAAGTTTTAGATAGTTCAAGTTTTTCTTCGACTATTCAGGAGCACTAAGATAGCACCTAATTCCAATTATTACAACATTATAGCCACTGTTATCAGTGTTATCAGTTTCGCTGCAAATATTTACACCCCCAAGTAAACGTAAGGCCAGTAGTTCAGTTCCCTATAATAATACAAAAAAAATCTATAATTCAAATAATATAACTAATTCATGTTTTTCTTTGACTATTTAGGAGCACTTGAGCACCTAAGTCCTATCCAGAAAAAATTTAGCTTTTAACCACCAACTAGTTAAACGTGAAGCCAACAATTTCCATTTCCTAATAATGAGAAAAAATCTCTATTTAGTTTAATGATTAACTGAACAAATTTTTTTTGACTATTTGGAAACACTTGCATAGCAAGAATCATAAACTATAGGATTGCTTTTCCTTATAAGGCGTACGTTCGCCAATTCTCGAGTCGGCAAGGCCTGCGAGTGACGTTAGTACTATTAGCAGCATAGCCTCTTATAGTGGTGACGTCACCCGCAAGCCTCGATGGGATGCTTGCGATTCAGGTTGTGCTTGTTTCTTCATCGATTTTAAATGTAGAAAAGGTGATTCCTGGTAATGAAAAAAATCTGAATGACTGTTCTTCTTCGACTATTTAGGAGCACTTGGATAGCTTATTTGCTAATTCCTATCCAGAAACTAGCTTCTGCACACAGTGGCTTTACACTCGGTAAACTCCGAGCAGTCCGAGCGCGCTCGAAACATTAAGATAGCGAAAATAGAATTCAACTTCTGGAATCTCTTTCTCAGTGAAAATGTTCTATCTTTGATTGTTGAGTACCCGAATCAATACATAGAAATTGTAAAACCGAAATTCATCAGATGGTTCAATTTTTTTATCAATGATTTAGTATATGTATCTCTGTGATACAGCGTGACTAATGATGTTATAAAACTCGCGATGGAAGGTTAAAATAAATTAATATTTAACCAATAAAATATTAAAAGTTAAAATTTTCCATTTTTAAAGTAAACAAAACACCACACCCACTCAATACTTGAAAAATATCGAAATAGAATTCTATTTTCTATTTTAAATACCCGCCATATGGAGAGGGAACGGCAACGCTGTACTCCTTTGCGCTACAACAACTGCATTCGTTTCGATGAGGGTCATACTCCGGTCGGACTTCGGCTCGTCCGACGTTCCCGCCCGAAGGCGACTTCGGGTGGGTAGAGCAAATGAACATTAGCACAAATGGGGTGATCCCGGATTTTCACTCATTCTACTTTGCCATTCAACTATCGACAAGAATCTGATATAAATTAACAACAAGGTAATTATCGCTTATCTAATATCGATTATCACCTCAACCACGATATCTTGATTTTACCATTTTAGTAATCATTCACTAGTCAATAGGAAAACAATCAGCAAAAATTATCATGAGTCACCACAAGGTTGCACTTTTTTTTTTGTTCGATTTATTTATGTTGATCTTTTGAATTCGGATTTACAATTTTTTTTTTGTTTCAGGACTCTTTTCCAATTAACTTCGCCCCCTTTTCGAAAACGAAAAAATGTCTTCGGGCATGGCGTCCCGCTTGAAGCATCCGAAAAAACACGATTTGGTGAAATCGCACAGTCAGGCCCAGCTGTTGGCAAGTAGATTGAGACAAGAAGGGGTTATGGTTACAGGTAATTTTCACATTGTTAATGTAAACCCTTTCAGACTACATTTTTGCCCCTTTTTCGAAGATTTTATTGGCATCAGTAGGATACAAAAGGGGCCCAACAAGTGGCTCAAAAAACAACTTCAAACAACCACAATTCCCTTTGCCTTGGACACCCTGTTTTCTATTACAAATTTTTTTCAACTTCAATTTTTGTCAAAAATACATATTATCATTATGTAAATAAACAAAAATGTCATTTATTAGTATTCAAGTTAAGTAAATAAACTTGGGTCTAATAATGTGATTTTTAGTAAAGTAAATATACAATACAAAATTATTAGGTTACATTGAAAGTAGTTGGTTGACACAGTTTTCTGATTTAAATTGAATATATATTTTTTTTTAAATTGCTTTTTCATTTGCTTATTAAGTTTTAAAAGATATCTCTTTTTTTTTAAAATATTGAGGCATTAATTGAGTGCAGAAAATAATATTTCTGTACTTTAAAAAATTCAGAAGCTTCTTGATTTTATCAAAAATCTTCAAGGTGAAAAGAGAGATGGGATTGTGCAATGAATAGAGTTATTTTCTCTGTCTTTATTGAAGTCCTGTCTCTTTTGATTTTGAAGAGAGAGTAGAAGACAGCAAATGCCATAGCGATAGGGATAAGGGATAACCGAGGGGATAACAATCTCTATTTGTTGAGAGTTTCAGTCTACAGTAGGTTGGAATTTCAAATGGATTCAGTGACAAACCACAATATTGAGAAATGCTTGAAAATCAGCTTTGTAAAGCCAATTTTATAAAAATAACATTTGTAATGTACTGCCTCAACGACACTCTGAACTATCAAATAATCCTGTAGGTAGCGGGTTAAATAAGCAACACAGTTCTCGTCTCTGACTTCCGTTCGTCGCCTTTATTCAGTACATACTCCTCTCACATTTCTTCTACCTGGCTGCAGGCAGATAGTATAAACACATAAATTCCTTAAGGGTGATATACACTACAACATTCTTACAACCTAATAATTTTCTTAGAATAGAAACTATTAAGAGAAAAACTTTGAAACTTTTAAATTTAATTAAAAAATAGAAATTGGCTAATCATACTGAAATTTAAAATGAATTCATTCAAAAATGAAAATATGAGAAATTCTACAAAATCAACTTTTAAAAAGGAAATTGAGTAAAATACCCTTTCACTATTTTGATGTTTTTTTTGGAAAACTAACAATGGGAAAATTTTGAAGAGAAATTCTTGAATATCAATCAAATCTGCATGAAAAATTTCCTTTAACTTATCCTCAACAATCTCAAATTTTCCTTCTCCTAGGTAAATGTGTTTTGTTGGTGCGTTGCTTTACCAACTAAGCCACCGCCCACCATATATGACCATGCTACAAATTTAGATTTTTTTGAGGTGTTGTTAGAAGAAGTTGCATGGGGCCCAAATTTCTCAATTCTTCAACTATTCTTCAATTAATTTTCATCGCTTTTTGGTTAAGTAATTGACAAAGATAACTTCCATTTTTACATCATAAAGTTGGGAGTTATTGGTGTTGGTAATATATGGCAAGTTAGTTTTATTATAAAAAAAAAATCTATTTTGTCTAGGCTAGGTAATAAACCTTTTCAATCTTTAACCATCTAAAATCTATTATTACCAATATTTTCCACTTTACCCCTTTTCCACACTTTTCCTTTTTGTATCAATATAAGTATTTTAATTTCATTTTAACTTTGGCAGATCTTTAGCATTTCTATCAAAAAATAATTTGTGAGTTTGTTGTTTACTTTTTAATTTATTTTGAATGAGAATTGGATCTAAAACTTATAGACTATAGACTAAACTTTCAGTAGAAATTGAGATTTTAGTCTCTAGGAATAATTAGGCAGGGAAATAAGTCATGTTTGGCAATAGGGTAGTCGGAACTACTGAATTTAAAATTTAACATGAAAATTCCATTCCTTGCCAAAGTTTTTCGAAGTTACTGAATTGTATGGAACATTAGCAACAAAAAATATGTTGGGTACAACAAACTTAGAGAACTTATCTTTACAAAAACTGATAACATTAAGAGCTGTTTTAGTTCTTGTATACATCGATCCAATTCGAATAAGAATCTACAATCAATAAATAATATTTATTTTCATACTCAAAAAAAAAAAAATCACTGTAGTAGTATTTGCTATGCTCTTGTAGGTAAAGTATGACTCATTAAGGTTTTTTTCTGTTTATTTTATTTATTTGACAAGTCTCACAATTTGATATAAATACACTCATCAAAATAATCCAGGCAACAAGTAATATCTGTCTTTTACTTTTGAGACAAAACAGCTTTTTTTAAAAGATAACGTAGGTATTATTTATTGAACAAATCTTATCAAATTTACTATATCGGCTTTTTTTCTGCAAGTTTGTTTAGTTTAAATATTTTATAATAAAATCAGGAAAAAATTTCTGATAAGTATAGTTATTATCTTGTTCCCTAGACCATTTTGATGTGTGTATGTGAATTATCTAACTAAATATGGCCAATAGAAAATTTGTCGAGCTCTGTTTTTGGATTTTTGTATGCCAAAATGTAATCATTTGCTGTTTAAGTGTTAATCAACGGTTTAATGTAGAATTTCAATTCATTATTCGGACATTTGTCATTTTCAGGCCAAGTAGTCAAGCAATAGTTCTTAATTTGTTTTAGAGTCTTATTATTATTTTTTTTTCATTCGACATGGGCATACTATTATATAGTAAATGTATGTAGGATTTTTATCGTTGTCTAGGGGTATTTTGGGGCAAGCAGAAAATCAAACGTAACGGTCCATTGAAAATATAAGGAATTTTAATAATATTTACGAAGAATAAATAGATTAGATGGTAGATAAATACGTCATTGATAAATATACAATTGGCACGGAAAATCACAATAACAACTTCACAACTAAGTATAGGTACGTCTTCACGACCACGTCTTGGTCGTTTTACGGCTTTAGAAATATACGTCTTGATAATTAATTGAACGTCGCGTCTTAAATTTACCCCGTCTAGGAAAAATCTGGCGGCCGTCTTCCGCCTTCAGCGTTCAATTAACGATTGACCCCTCTTTTTAATATTATTCGTTCGTGGCTACTTCCCCACTGGCGCCGTGCCATTCGGTGCCACCCTGTTACCGTCGCGAGTCGCTCCCGCTCGTATCTTTTATCCTCTTCTATCAACCTATATAGAGATATTCCCTTTTCGTCGCCCTGTTGCTACCCTGAGATCCAGCGCGCCTCGCCTATTCAACCGTGACGGTACAGTCTATGTAAAAATAAATAGGTACAGTCGGAAGAGAATTATTTGGAGAAATGAAGAAATATAATATTTACATAATTATAAACGGAAAAAAATACTTATACCTATAAATACAAACACAGATACCGATTAGGTTTCGTACCCTACATGTATAATATACATACTCCATTTCTGAATCATTATCAACTGGTTTTTTTAATTTATGAACACAATAAAATGTCAGCTACAAGCATGTCTTTTCCAAGTAGGTATTCAATATGTATTTAATATTTCAACAATCCTAACATCATATTAATCTTATCTAAATCAGGATTGGAAATAGGAACTAATCGTTTATGGGTCACTCTGCGTACTACTACAGGATGTCTGTAAACATAATAATGGAATTTTACAAATGAAAAATAAATGGTAACAGTTGCTTCTCAATCTGAGCATACCTTTTCTCTGTTTTCGTCAAAGTTTATGAAGCGGAAGATACTGAGTGTTCCCTGTAACAATAAACATCTGAGACTTTTATTGGAAACATCACATTGTATCATAATGCCTAATTTAGAGTCAAATATTTTTAACGTAGGGGAATGTATGATTAAGAGTGCGCTTCTCGATGCTGAAAATCATGAGTGCGCCTTTACTATTTTAATAAAAACAGTTGCATCTAGGAAATTTTAACCGATAACTTTTTTCAAGGATATGTTTATGTGGTTGTTTGACCAGTAAAATTTTTTAGATTTTTCTCATTTTATGAATTTTTTTTTTTTCAAAAAATGAGAAGAATCAAAAAAAAAATTACTGATCAAACAAGCACCAAAGGACATTTTTAAAGACAGTTTTTGTTGGAATTCCCTAGATGCAACTGTTTTTATTAAAACAGCATAGTCACGAACGTAAAATACCTATTTTTTCAGAATCGAGAAGCACACTCTTAAATACAAGGAAGAAGGAAGTAGTTGGACAAGGACAAAAAATAAAAAGCCAATTAAATTCTTGCCGACGTTTTGCCTTTATTGTTTAAAGACATCTTCAGGGCTAAAAGCAGTTAGGGAGTTATGAATGCTAAATAAATAAAATTAAACAAAATCTACCTTGTATTCAAAATATATATATAAAATATGTATCCATATTTCTATATAACCTGAGTGAGTTTCTCTCCATCAACCCCTAAAGCTACAAACCCCCCATGTCACCCCTGTAAAGCGGGCAGTTGTGACAATATGTAAAAAATTTGGTAAAAAAATATGCACTTTTAGTGGGTGATGCGTTTTTTTTTGTCACATAGTATATAAATGTTTTCATAAATTATTGGCAATCAGAGATTCATGTGTATTCAGAAATTGAACTGTATATGAATTACATATTATTGATGGTTACCAGATTTATAAAGTGTCACAAATAATAAAAGAACTGGTGGAGTCACGGCTTTAGTAAGAACCGACATAAAATATTCAGTGTGAGCAGAATTATATTATGGTGTTTGTCCCTTGAAACGTCTTTGTCAAGAGTTAGGTATCTTTATACGGTTTGGTATCATCCGCCTCTGACTGAAAATTCAAGATTTGTCGACTTTTTCAATGACTATGTTACGGGTCACAATAACAGGTATTTACAAAATACTTAAAAAACTAAAGAACTGATAGTAGTGATGTGAATGTTTTAACAAATACTTCCGTAAACAGTATTACAGATATGTTGAATACAATGTGCCCCAAGCAACGAATATTTTTAAAACAAAATTTATTCAGAAATACTGGATAACAGTTAATATGTATGTTATTTTTCTAATGCATCTCAGTTTTTTCCTCTCCTAAGTATCTATTATAATAAATATCTTTTTCTCCCTCTGATTTCAGTGGATTCTGTACTGCAAGCTGTCGACCAAGTGGCTACTCTTCTGGCCTCGAATCAAACACAAGTCAATTATAACGAAACCATAACTAACTTGTGTCAACATCTAAAGGTAATCACTAAAACATACCAAAATATGAAAAACTAAAAATAAAACTTTGCTATTATTGGTCAGGTTTATGGAGCGTATTTGGAAATCCTCTACAAAGAACAACTCGACCATGCCTTTAAAGTGTTCCGGGACAAAGCCCAAGACAACGTCCAAGTCGACATCAAATCACGACTGCATCTACTCGAACTAATCGAACTGCGCGCCAAAGGCTGGAAAGGAACCGACGGCATGAGCTCATACTACAAAAAGAAAATGAACCAGTGCTCTCAACAAGTAAGAACTTTATTTCAAACCGTTTTTTTTTAATACAAAATTATTGTTTTCTAGATGGATTTAATGATCACTAGTGATTCAATTTCGAATTTAAGCGACTCAATTTCCTCAGTTTTAACAATGAATTCTCAAACTCTGGCTCCAGGCGAGGTCCTGAAACCCTCTGGCAAGTTTATGAAACCCACCCGGATACCCGGCAAAAAATATTGCAAAGACGAAGTGGTAATTCGAAATGCTGATTCCGGTAAAGGTATGTGTCTTTATGAACAATTCCGCAAAGTGAATTGATTCAAAATATATTATAAAATTATTATAGTTATGGGAATCAAAGGAAGGCGCGTTCATATGATAGAAGAATTGAGCGAAACTATCATATCGTTCCAGAGAGGTAATCGAGTCAATGTATGCTTGATTTTTAATCAATTAACCTCTCTAATTAATTACATCCAGTGTTTTTGTGTTTTGTAGTGAACTAGCATGTTCATTTTTAATTACTATCCAGCTCTAATTCGATTAATAAAACGTCATTGCATCGCACATTTTTCGTCTATTATCGATTACCAAAGATTTTCTGTTACATTTGACAACATACTAATATGGCAAAAAAAGGTTGACAACAGTGTATAGTCAAATATATTTCCTTTTGTCAGACTTGGCATTATTGTAAATCCATATACTTATGTAGGCGTCGTTTAATGTGGAATTTTGTTATTTTTCATTGCTCCTTCATTTTTAGTTTTCTTTGTTTTCCAGCAAGTAAACATATTTTGTTTTTTTTTTCAAAATTTTGACAACACTGTGAAGTCAAATACTTATATATATTTCACTTGCCACTGTTGCCATAGATTACAAAATTATTCTGTTTTTAATAAATGAATTTTTGGTAGTGTCTTCTTTAGTACATTTGGCAATACTGTAAATTCAAATATATCTCATTATCCACTGTTGTCTTGAAATACAAAAGGATTTTGTTTTAAAAAAATATTTATTTTTTTGGGTTAGTCTCCTTTATTAGACTTGGCAACACTGTAAAGTCAAATACCTATACGTTTTTCACTTGCCACTGTTGCCATGTATTACAAAATTATTCTGTTTTTAATAAATGAATTATTGGTATTTTATTCCTTATCACATTTGGCAATACTGTAAATTCAAATATATTTCTCATTATCCACTGTTGCCTTGTATGTATTACAAAAGGATTATGTTTTTAAACAATATTTTTTTTTTTTTTGAGTTTGTCTTCTTACTTACACTTGGCAACACTGTAAAGTCAAATACCTATACGTTTTTCACTTGCCACTGTTGCCATGTATTACAAAATTATTCTATTTTCAATAAATAAATTTTTGGTATTGTCTTCCTTGTCACATTTGGCAATACTGTAAATTCAAATATGTCTCTCATTTTCCAAAAAAATGTTTTTTTTTTTTTAAGGTTTATCTCATTTATTACGCTTGGCAACACTGAAAAGTTAAATACCTATACAATTTTCACTTGCCACTGTTGCCATGTATTACAAAATTATTCTGTTTTTAATAAATGAATTATTGGTATTTTATTCCTTATCACATTTGGCAATACTGTAAATTCAAATATATTTCTCATTATCCACTGTTGCCTTGTATGTATTACAAAAGGATTATGTTTTTAAACAATATTTTTTTTTTTTTTGAGTTTGTCTTCTTACTTACACTTGGCAACACTGTAAAGTCAAATACCTATATGTTTTTCACTTGCCCTTGTTGCCATGCATTACAAAATTATTTTATTTTTAATAAATGAATTTTTGGAATTGTCTTCCTTAGCACATTTGGCAATGCTGTAAGTAAATCCAAATATATCTCTCATTATCCAGTGTTGCCTTATATTACAAAAGGATTTTTGTTTTTAAAAAAATATTTTTTGTTTTGTTCTGTATCCTTTATTACACTTGGCAACACTGTAATGTCAAATACCTACAAGTTTTTCACTTGCCACTGTTGCCATGTATCACAAAATTATTTTGTTTTTAATAATTGATTTTTGGTATTGTCTTCCTTATCACATTTGGCAACACTGTAAATTCAAATATGTTTCTCATTATCCACTGTTGACTGTTGCCATTTAATACAAAAAGATTTTATTTTTAAAAAATATTTTTTTTTTGAGTTTATCTCCTTTACAACACTTGGCAACACTGTTAAGTCAAATACCTATACGTTTTTCACTTGTCACTGTTGCCAAAATTATTCTGTTTTTAATAAATGAATTTTTTGTATTGTCTTCCTTATCATATTTAGCAATACTGTAAATTCAAATATGTCTCTCTATATCCACTGTTGCCATGTAATACAAAAGCATTTTATTTTTAAAAAATGTTTTTTTAAAGGTTTTTCTCCTTTATTAGCTTTGGCAACATTGTAAAGTTAAATACCTATACATTTTTCACTTGCCACTGTTGCCATGTATTACAAAATTATTCTGTTTTTAATAAATGAATTTTTGGTATTGTCTTCCTTATCACATTTGGCAATACTGTAAATTCAAATATGTCTCTAATTATCCACTGTTGCCTTGTAATACAAAAAAAATTTGTTTTAAAAAAATATTTTTTTTTGTCTGCTTTATTACACTTGGCAACACTGTAAATTCACATGAATATCTCTCGTTTGCCATTGTCATGTAATAAAAACAATTTAATTTTGCCTCCTTTATCATGTACTACTTTGCTACCTCTATCGTACATCAATTTTGTCTTTTTTACTATATTTGGCAACATTGTAAATTCAAATAATGTTTGTCTCTCAAATTCCACTGTGGCCATGTAATACAAAACGATTTGATTTTACTCCCAATATTATACTTGGCAACACTGTAAATTAATTTTTTTTTATTTTCCATTGTTGCCATGTAATACAAAAATACAAAAATTTTAGGTTTAAATTCCTCTAAGGTCAATAATTTTCTATAATCATTATACCTTCTGAATACCCTTTTGCACAATGTTAATAAAATATTAATTTCTTGCATTTTAACTACATACTAAACAAACTGTACAGTAAATCTTCTGTCAACTGTCAAAATAATGCTTGTCATAATACTATGAACAACTGAATATCGAATTCTTGCTAATTGTTTTTTCATTTTCTAGTTAGTCCAGGCGCCAAGGAACGATTAGTCCAAATCACCGGTGCGAACGAGGAGAGTATCAAGTAAAGTATTTACTTATTTTGACTAATAATTTTGTTAGGTGGCAACACTGCAAACACGTATCAAAATTGTCAAACTTCAAATTAAGTCATTGTTTAATGCAAACATTTTTATTACACAATGCAATTTGACAGTTGACGTTTTAAACATTGTTTATCTGTCAAATATATTGTGTAAAAGAGACTCAGAAATGATGATTTTTTAGTCACGCCAAACAACTAATCGAAGACACGATCCGACGTAACGCTTCGCCAGTACGCGAAGGGGGTTCTGCTATTGGTGGACCCTTGACAGGCTCGAGCTCAAGCATTAACTCATCGGTGTCAGACGAAAGCCCGGTGCCGTTGCGCATGCGCGACTCTCGAGCTTTGAAGCACAGCATGAGCACACCGGACGCCAATCTGAACGAGTACACATACACCGTCAACATAAACGGGCACAACGTCAAAATTATCGGAGATAATTTGGATTTAGTTCGAGTAATAAATACTATTCAATTGGAAATTTTCATTATTTAATTTGAGGATTTTCTAGACCAGTAAGTTGGTACTTGACGAGTACTTTTCGGGCGAGCCAATGCACGACATGGCTCAGTTTTACAGTTTTGACAGTTTACCTCAGCCCATTTCGCAAAATGACATTGAGGCAGCTCATTCGCCTACTGTCAGCTCGTCGCCGGTGCTCAATGGACAGCCAGCGCCTTCTGAAAGTCCCAAACTCGAAACAGGTAATAAACGTTAATTGTATTGGTTTTTGTCTCAATGTAAATTCCAATCAGAATTCTCAGGGTATTGTTGTTTTTGACTTAAAAGTTTCATAAAATGTGTCACATCTTGAAAGTGACACAAAAAACTAAGTAGGCCTTGGTTTTCATAATAATTTTTTTGACATTTGATCAGCGCCATCTATAAATTTTATATGCAAAAATGAAGTTGGCACAAGATTTCGAAGAACAATCAAAGTAATTCGGATAGTTGAACAAATCAAAAAGAGTCAGTGCACTTGGAACAGTCCTAGTAGAATTAATAAAAACCCTGTTCCGGGGCTGATTTAAATAGTTTCGGCACAGTTCTAGAACTAATTCAATGTTGTATACACTCAAATTGTTCTAGAATAGTCACGTTCTCCAAAATCCTGACATAAATTAAGTTTTTAATTGGTGCTGTTTTTTTTTCTTACTCCGGAACACATTTTTAATGGTTCTTATATCATTTGAGAACAGTTTTCAATACAAAACTTATATATTCTCAACTTATTATTTGTTCTAGAGTAAATTGGATGCTGATTCGGAACTGTTTCAGGGCTGATTTGAATCGGCTCAGCACAGTTTCAGAACTAGTTCAATGTCGTACATACTTCCTATTGTTCTAGAACAGTCATGTTGTAGTCCAAAGGTACAGGTAAATTTATCACCTTTCCCTATCAAATAGCACTGAAAGGTGATAAATTTTACCTGTACCTTTGGACTTCAGATTGTGAATAGATAATAAATCAAGTTTTTGATGTGTGCCAATATTTTTCTTACTCTAGAACGGTTTTAAACACAAAACTTTACTAACCTTATATGTTCCAGGGATAATTCAGAACATTTTAGAACTACTTTTTATTGTTTTCTCATCATTTTCAATTGTTCCGAACAGTCTTTAAGCTCACTCTGGAGCAAGATTCTTTTATTAGAAATAATTTCAAACACTTTTTAAAAACTCACTCTGAATTTTTCATTGTTCCAAGTTATCCAGAGTACTTCTACGAACTCACTCTAAAACAGTTTTGAGGCAAGTTTTTCATTTAGAGTTTTTTGGAGCTCTGTGCTCAATTTGAGCTTTTTTTTTTCAGCGTGTGGCCCTAAATTGGTGTCAAAGATGTTTCAAAAAGGCATTTTCCTCATTTGATTTGCTGCTCTGAGTTGTTCCAAACAATTTTAAAAACTCACTCTAGAGTAAGGTTTTTTAATAAATTAAAACATTCATCGTTCACTCTGTATTTTCCACTGTTCTTATGTCTTTCCGAGTACTACAAATCCACTCTAGAATAGTCGGAGTCAAATTACTAAAAACCCGAAATTAATTTTCAAATCAGCAGTTCTAGTAAATAAATTCATAATGGAATAATTTGAACAGTGATAATCAGAGCAGTGCAAACAGAACAGATTTACTGCAAATGAAACAGAAATTGAAGCAATTTCAAAAACTCACTCTAGAGTAAGGTTTTTTAATAAATTAAAACGTCCATCATTCACTCAGTATTTTCCACTGTTCTTAAGTCTTTCCGAGTACTACAAATCCACTCTAGAATAGTCGGAGTCAAATTACTAAAAACCCGAAATTAATTTTCAAATCAGCAGTTCTAGTAAATAAATTCATGGAATAATTTGAACAGTGATAATCAGAGCAGTGCAAACAGAACAGAGTTACTGCAAATGAAACAGAAATTGAAGCAATTTCAAAAACTCACTCTAGAGTAAGGTTTTTTAATAAATTAAAACGTCCATCATTCACTCAGTATTTTTCACTGTTCTTAAGTCTTTCCGAGTACTACAAATCCACTCTAGAATAGTCGGAGTCAAATTACTAAAAACCCGAAATTAATTTTCAAATCAGCAGTTTTAGTAAATAAATTCATAATGGAATAATTTGAACAGTGATAATCAGAGCAGTGCAAACAGAACAGAGTTACTGCAAATGAAACAGAAATTGAAGCAATTTCAAAAACTCACTCTAGAGTAAGGTTTTTTAATAAATTAAAACGTCCATCATTCACTCAGTATTTTCCACTGTTCTTATGTCTTTCCGAGTACTACAAATCCACTCTAGAATAGTCTGAGTCAAATTACTAAAAACCCAAAATTAATTTTCAAATCAGCAGTTCTAGTAAATAAATTCCTAATGGAATAATTTGAACAGTGATAATCAGAGCAGTGCAAACAGAACAGAGTTACTGCAAATGAAACAGAAATTGAAGCAATTTCAAAAACTCACTCTAGAGTAAGGTTTTTTAATAAATTAAAACGTCCATCATTCACTCAGTATTTTCCACTGTTCTTATGTCTTTCCGAGTACTACAAATCCACTCTAGAATAGTCGGAGTCAAATTACTAAAAACCCGAAATTAATTTTCAAATCAGCAGGTTTAGTAAATAAATTCATAATGGAATAATTTGAACAGTGATAATCAGAGCAGTGCAAACAGAACAGAGTTACTGCAAATGAAACAGAAATTGAAGTAATTTCAAAAACTCGCTCTAGAGTAAGGTTTTTTAATAAATTAAAACGTCCATCATTCACTCAGTATTTTCCACTGTTCTTATGTCTTTCCGAGTACTACAAATCCACTCTAGAATAGTCGGAGTCAAATTACTAAAAACCCGAAATTAATTTTCAAATCAGCAGTTTTAGTAAATAAATTCATAATGGAATAATTTGAATAGTGATAATCAGAGCAGTGCAAACAGAACAGATTTACTGCAAATGAAACAGAAATTAAAGCAATTTCAAAAACTCACTCTAGAGTAAGGTTTTTTAATAAATTAAAACGTCCATCATTCACTCAGTATTTTCCACTGTTCTTATGTCTTTCCGAGTACTACAAATCCACTCTAGAATAGTCGGAGTCAAATTATTAAAAACCCGAAATTAATTTTCAAATCAGCAGTTTTAGTAAATAAATTCATAATGGAATAATTTGAACAGTCATAATCAGAGCAGTGCAAACAGAACAGATTTACTGCAAATGAAACAGAAATTAAAGCAATTTCAAAAACTCACTCTAGAGTAAGGTTTTTTAATAAATTAAAACGTCCATCATTCACTCAGTATTTTCCACTGTTCTTATGTCTTTCCGAGTACTACAAATCCACTCTAGAATAGTCGGAGTCAAATTACTAAAAACCCGAAATTAATTTTCAAATCAGCAGTTTTAGTAAATAAATTCATAATGGAATAATTTGAACAGTCATAATCAGAGCAGTGCAAACAGAACAGAGTTACTGCAAATGAAACAGAAATTAAAGTAATTGGAACACTTAGAGTAACTCGTACAATAGAAGGAATTCATATAAAATTAATGCATTGAGTAATAATAGGTTCATATGCTGTAAAAATTCAAAATTGACCCAGAACTAGAGTATTAGGTTTTTACTGGTTCTGGAATTAAATAGGATTGTGCATTGTACTTTTGCACCATATTCTAGCTACTCTACACGTTTTGAATTGCACTTTTTGTACTGCAATTTCTGTTCTTTTCTTTTTGCCCTGCATTTTCAGCCCTACACTTCTTGCGCTGCACTTGCCGCCCTGCACTTTCTGTCCTACACTTTCTGTCCGGCACTTTTCGCCCTACACTTTCCGCCCTGCATTTTCTGTCTTGCACTTAGTGTTTTAGTTGCTCTATATTTTTTGTACTGCACGTTTTGTTCTGTTCTTTTTGCACTGCACTTTCAGTTCTGTACCAGCTGCCTGCACTTGCCGCCTAGAGCAAGTGTAAGTTATTCGAAAATGCCAATATAGTTCTTTATTCGCGATTTAATTAGGATCGGTTCCGGAGTGATTCTAAATTAGTTCTAACGATCCAACAAAAATCATAAGTTCAAGACTGAGAATTGCTGATTTGAGGAAGAGTTGAAAGTTTCCGTTCCCTGTTTTGAAAGTATTCACGGTAAAATAAAATCCCGACTCTCTCTACGACAATAATTCTTAATTAGTTTCAAATTGATTCAGATTGTGCACTGCACTCTCTGCTCTACTCTAGTTATTTTACACTTTTTGTACTGCACTTTCTGCTCTATCCTTTCTGCACTGTACTTTCAGCTCTGCTCTTTTTTTTTGTACATTGTGGCTATAGTTTCTAAATAGGAATCCATAACAAATTCGGAACTATTCGCATACGCAATTTAAATCATATCATTTGCGGATCAATAAATTGTACTTGCCTTAGAGCACATTGAGTTCTTATTTTGAAAATGCAGTGCAAAATTTCGTGTTCGGATTGATTTGAGTTTTGAGCGTGCAACATTTCAAGTGTTTGCCTATTCAAAATCATCGCCCTCAGAGTGCTCTGAGAGCGACTAGAATGCAAATGAGAGCACACTATTTGAAATCAGTAGCCGAATCTACCTTAGCAAGAGTAAGAAAGAATTCTTCTTGCAAGATTTGAAAGCGTGTTCAAACCAAACACGTAAATCTCGCCGAGAGTAACGCTCCGTTTTAAACTATGTTCTAGTTACTCTACACTTTTTGTACTGCATTTTGAACTGAATTTTCAGCCTGCACTTTCTGTTCTGCACTTTTTGTCCTACACTTTCTGTCCTGCACTTTCAGTCTTGCACTTTCCGCCCTACACTTTCTGTTTTGCGCTTTTAGCTCTCCGCCTTCTGCTTTGTACAGTGTGGCAATAGCTTCTCTCGAAATGATAATTCAGAACTATTTGCTGTCACAATTTAAATTATGTCATTTGCGAATCAATAAATTAATTCTACTTGCTCTAGAGCAGACTCAGTTCCCATTTTGGAACTCCAGCACACGATTTTGTGTTCAGATGACAATAATTCGAAATTAGTTTCAAATTGGTTTGGATTGTGCATTGCACTTTTTATTCTAGTTGCTTTACACTTTTTTGAACTGCTACTGCACTTTCTGATCTGTCCTTCTTGCACTGTACTTCCAGCTTTGCAGTTTCTAAAGTGAAAACAGATTTGGAACTATTCGTATATGCAGTTTAAATTATATTGTTTGCAGATCAATATGTTCTACTTGCTCTAAAGCAGATTCAGTTCCTATTTTGAAAGTGCAGTGCAAATTTCGTATTCGGATTGATTTGAGTTAAAAGGGAGCAATATTTTAAGTGTACGACAACCGGAACAGAGTAATAATTTAAGTGTTTTGTTGCTCTACATTCGCTAAACTGTATTTCTTGTAATGCATTTTCTGTTCTGTCTTTTCTGCACAGTACAATTCGCGGATCAATAAATTCTACTTACTCTAGAACACACTCAGTTCCCATTTTGAAAGTGAAGCGCAAGATTTTATGTTCGGATTGATTCGAATCACGAGCGAGCAACATTTTAAGTGTACGATGTTGACAACGTCAAAAGGCAAAAAATAAACCTCACTTTTTTTTCAAAAACAAAAAAGTTAGGTCAAAAAGAGTCAGTGTACTTGGAACAGTCAGAGTAGAATTACTAAAAACCTAAAATTAGTTTTCAAATCAGCCAACTGGTATAGTAAATACATTTATTGATTAGTAGTATAATAGAGTAGTTCGAACAGTAACAATCGGAGCAGTGCAAACAGAATGGAATTAGTGCAGATGAAACAGAAATTAAAGCAATTGGAAATTGGGACACTTAGAGTAACTCAAACAATAGGAGGGATTCAAATAGAATTAATGCAGATGTAATGCTTAGAGTAATTTAAATCGAGTTAGTGCAAATGGAACAAAATTAGAAAAGTCAAAGTAGTTCGGAGAGTTGAACAGATCAAAAAAAGTCGCTGCACTTGGAACAATCAGAGTAGAATTACTAAAAACCCAAGATTAATTTTCAAATCAGCCTACTGTTATAGTAAATACATTTATCGATTAGTAGGATAATGGAGTAGTTCGAACAGTAACAATTAGAGCAGTGCAAACAGAATACACTTAGTGCAAATGAAATAGAAATTTAAACCATTGGAACACTTAGATTAACTCGTACAATAGAAGGATTTCGAATAGAATTAATGCAGATGGAATGCTCAGAGTAATTTAAATTGAGTTAATGCAAATGGAATAGAATTAGAACAGTCAAAGTAGTTCGGACAGTTGAACAGATCAAAAAGTGTCAGTGCACTTGGAACAGTCAGAGTAGAATTATTAAAAACCCAAAATTAATTTTCAAATCATTCTATTGTTATAGTAAATAAATTCATTCATTGTTTAGTAGCATAGTAGAATAATTCGAACAGTAATAATCAGAGCAGTGCAAACAGAACAGAGTTGGTGCAGATGAAACAAAAATCTAATTAATTGGAATACTTAGAGTAACTCAAACAATCGAAGGAATTCAAATAGAACAATGACCATTGAAGGATAAGTGCGCATTGAGTCTATTTGTGTCTTTTTCTACTAGCTTGTATACGAAAGAGATAAAATTAAATTTTTTCTGAACTGGTTCTACCAATGGAATTCGAGTATTCTTTTACCTCAATTACTGTATTCCTTTTATCCGTTGAGCTGCTCAATGTCAAAAGCTCGAACGTTCGTTTTAAAAGTCCCCTGATGCACCAAATTTGCGTGGGGTGCAAGAAGCCCTCTTAGGTAATGGTAATAATAAATAATGATGATAATTGTGTTTTTTGGAGTGACTCTGAGAAGTTCTAGAGCGACACGTTCGGTGTAACTCGATGTTTGAAATGAATACAGTAAATGTGACTGAGCATAATTTTAATTTCCAAAGTTTAGTTTGACGAATAATCAAAATGGTCATTGGTTAAAATATTGAGGCATGTCATATTTTGACATTAATTTGAGCAGCGCCATCTATGAAGCAAAATACACAATCCGGCCGATATAGTAGGCCCACAATAACTGAAAGTCCTGATTGGTTTATCTCGTCTAATAATAATTTTTGTCTTTGTAAATACATTTTATTTATTCGAATAAAGTGTTTGATTTCGTTATTTTTTGACAAGCACTTTATTTTAACTGTCTTTTTTTTTTCGGACACTTCAAGGCCATAAAAATGTCAAATGTGGCCATTAATTTTCAAAAATCAGTGTCGTCCCATTTAACAATTACCTTATTATTCCTTCTTGAGTGTAGATGTTAGTGGTGCCATCTATGAGGGCTTATATAACAATTAATAAGCGTTCTACTTTACCGGCAACGGTTATTTTATTATTGAAAAACTAGATAAGGGAGCGGCGAAACTGCGCAAGCCTCGTATTAGCGCCGAGGACCTGTGCAAACCGCTAAATTCGCCGAAAACGCCCACTACTGCGACTGCGTCCCATTTTGACTTCAAAGCGAACAGTCCAGCGAAAATTTTGAATTATTCAATCGAAGTTTTGGCTCAGCTGGCAATGTCGCCGCTTTGCCTGACTGAACCTGAGGAGTGGATGCAAATTTTGCAAGAATATCCGATGCTTGTTAGAAAGGTAATAATGACACACCTTGTATAATAATATGTATTATAGTTTTTTTTTATTTATAGACTGTTCAAGGATTTGATGCCAAACAATATTTGTCGATTCGTACCGAAGAGCCGAGTGGCCTTATTAACGCCGAAGACATTTCAGACGATTAACGAACGAATTTATTTTTTTTTTCTTCATTTTTGACTCATTTATTAATACAATAAAGAAACTATATGTATGTAAGATACCAAAAAAAAATAATATAAGAAAAAATATTATTTTGATCTCTAAAAAAGTAGATCCGAATCTTGTTTAGTTCACTATTGACTACGTTTATTTGACGTGTTGTATCTGGATACAAAGTTATTAGTAGGGTTGAATAATCCTGAAATAAACACCCAGGATCGGAATACTTAATCCAATCCTCCAAATTTATAGGATTGGACTGAAAATGGCTTAAGAAAGGATTAGCACTAATCTTAATCCATTTACTAGTTGTGAAATAAAAGAATGATTAATAATCTTTAATCCACTTAGTATCCGGATAAAAACGTAGTCAATTATTGTTTATCACAGTGATATAATTAACACTATTATTATTATTATTTAGTTATTAATGACTGACATAAAAAAAAAGTAACCATAATTTAGTTATTTATTTGTTTAGAACAAAAAATATTTTTTTATTATTACTGCAGATACTACATTAGATCTGACAACTAATTATTAACTATATACATATATAGGTATATAATGTTTCTCTAGTTACACAAACTTTGAAAGTCGTTTTTTTTTTTTAAGTTTTTCTATTTTGTGTATAGGGATTTTTTTTTTGTTTTTTTTTTTTAGATGTTTTTGATGTCGGCCACGTTGCCGTCCGTTTCTATTTTGTCAAAATGGCGTTGTACAAAAGAGCAATAAAGTTTTTCAAAAAAAAAAAAAATATATAATTTAATTTCCATTGATATTATTTATTGTGCAAAAAAAAATTCTTGAATCACTCAATCACTCGCCCTAAGGGTTCGTGATTTCTATTGGACAAGCATTACAGAGAACTGCAATGTTCTATTTAATGATTTTTACAGTGTTGCCAACTTAGAGTTTTTTTGATATTTTTCCCATGAGGTTTGGTTGAAACATAAAGAATTTTGATAATATACAAAGGAAAAACAAACAAACAAAAGTGCTACAATAGCTATTTATACAATAAGTTACGAAATGAGCGTCTTTTAGGCACGCGACGTGAAAATTGTTCAACGAGGCAAAGCCGAGTTGGACAACACGTCGAGTGACTAAAAGACATCGTTTCGTAACGTATTGTATACAAGATTTTTTCTATTGGCATTCTATAATAAAAAAACACAATTTTATTTCATGTGAATAAGTCGATTACGCCCAAAATTTTTGTTACCTAATTTTACTTGACACTGAAACGGCTCAACACCGAATATGGGTCGTGGATAAATTCAACACGAGAACGGAACAATAAAACGTTATATTAATACCAAATACAGATGAACAATCAGAGCTAGAGCTTTAAGAGAGACCGTGACTCTTTTTCTCTCTGACCTTTTCCGTCACTGACTGTCACTTCCGTCAACCACCATCTATCGTGTGATTGACGGATCTTTCGTTCCACCCTGCTTTACAAAATATAATAGGGGTGAATCATCTCATGACCCCCCAATTGAATCTAATAACAGCTTATGGATTCAATTTTCAATCACTACACCATGAATAACTTTAATCTAATAAAAAAAAATATATATATATATATCTAATAATATTATTAACTCCACCACAAGGAGTTAAATCTAATGATACAAATTGATAAAGATAATATTAATCTACAATTATTCAAATTAGCAAAACATTCGGGTCCTTATAAGGTTTGAGATTGATTATATTCTGACAAGAGTGTTCTTTGCCTGACAAATTTCCAATTACATATGAGTTAGGACCCGCTTGCCGCAAAACACTGAAAGCGCCATTGAATAATAGAAAGAACTTTTTAATGGTATGGTCATCAGCAGAGGACTGAGCATGTGATTTTACAAGAACCAGGTCGCCCTTCTTAAAAACTGTCGGTTTAATTTGATCATTGTACTTTTCCGCGCGACGTTCAGCACGAGAAAGCAACCGCTCGCGGGCCAGCAAAAGAACAGTTTTCAAGTCTGGTGGCTTTACACCCTCATAGGGAAATGATATAAATGTCTCAATCGGACGTCGTAAACTTTCTCCGAACTGAAGAAACTTCGGTGTAAACCCCGTTACCTCACTAATAGCGCTATTGAGGCAATCTTCGATAAAATCAAGCAAACATGCCAATTTAGTATGTTTTTCAAAACAATATAAACGTAATAGACGCCCGATTTCCTTATTGTATCGTTCAGTCATATTTCCTTCAGGGAAATATACAGAGGTATGTTTAACACGGATACCCTCTCGTGATAGGCTATCATTCCACAATTTTCCGGTAAATTGTGTTCCATTATCACTAAGTATACATTTTGGTTTCTGTATTTTTGGTATGTAATCGATGAATATCTTATTAACAATGACTCTGGCGGTAGCCCGTTTTAGCGCATACAACTTTACGTACTTAGAGAAGGCGTCCACCAGCACAAGTAACTGAGTGACACCCCCGCGCGAAGCTGGTAAAGGACCTATTAAATCTGTGCATACTAGATCTCCAGGTTTATCCAACAATACAGAATGTAAAGTTCCTTTATTTATTTTTGAACATTTAGACTTTTGACAAAGATCGCAAGCAGCCACTATTTGACCAACATGTCGCTGCATTTTTGGCCAATAAAAGCTTTCTTTCATCTGACTATAAGTTTTCGTTCGGCCAAAATGACCATTTCCGATATGATGAGCGACTATAAGATCCCGAATCTGATTCTTAGGAACGCACAACTTATACCCTGGATTTACAGGGTCCCCTCTTTTAAAAAGCAAATCTTCATGCACCCGGAACCATAAAAATAGTTGGTGCTCCTTGTCCGAAAACACCCGAGGCTCTCTATTAAATTGTTCTAACAACTTGATTTTTTTTCCAATCCATTCATCCGCTAGTTGATCTTCACGCATGGATTTTAAATTTTGTCGTAAATTTTTATAACATTCTGACAGCCCCATCACTATAATATGAATATTAGACGACCTATCAGGTGTCAAAAATAAATTTTTATTTGGAGAATTTCTCGATAAAGCATCAGCTACCTTGTTTTGTACCCCAGGACAATGTTCAACCTTGAAATCAAATTCTTGTATAAGAAGTATCCAGCGAGATAGCCTGGCTGATTTTAACTTACACGTCATCAAGAAACAGAGAGATTTATGATCAGTTATAACAATTAATTCCTGACCCAATAACAATGTGCGCCACTGCCTCAAGCAATGCACTAGGGCCAATAACTCCTTTTCTGTAGTAGTATATCGCAGCTGACTACCCTTTAGAGTAGTAGAAGTATAACTTATGACCGCCTTCTCACTGTTTTCTGATTTTTGGAAAAGACATCCTCCCACCGCGTAATTGGAACTATCACATTGAACATAAAACCCCTTTTTAAAATCTGGATGTACCACCATAGTAGCTTCAATATAGCTGTCCTTTATAGCGTTAAATGTCTCTTTTTCCACTACTCCCCATGATCACTTCTCTCCTTTTCTTAACAACCTTAACAAAGGCAAAGTCAAATCAGAATATTTACTACAAAATCGCTGCTCGTAGTTCACTAATCCCAGAAATCCGCGTAGTTCCCGAATATTACGTGGTGCGGGGAAGTCTTTAATGGCCTCAACACGTGTGGGATCCATCTCTATTCCCCTACTTGAAATTATATGTCCCAAAAATTTTACTCGATTACTAAGAAATTGACACTTTCTCAATTTTACCGTCACCCCTTCAGATTGAAATCGCTTAAAAAGTCTCTCCAAATGATTGAAATGCTCATTGATAGTATCTGAAAAAATTAATAAATCATCCACATACACTGCTGTAAAGTCGCGCGAATCTTGCTGAAGAACCGAATTTAAGTAACGAATTAAACTAGCCATTGAGGTAGACAACCCAAAAGGAAGTCTTTTAAAGGTGTATGACTCATTTTCATAAATAAATCCTATATATTTAGTATGTTCCGGCTTAATTCCTATTTGCCAATAGGCTGACGTTAGATCGATGGTGCTTACTACCATTCCACTCTTAAAATTACAAAGTAACTCGTTTGGATTGGGTGGATTTACAAAATCCTTTTCCATACGCTTGTTTAAAGTACGAGCATCTAAACAAATTCGGACTGTTCCGTATTTTTTTTTAACTGTTACCAAGGGTGAAATATAACATTTTTTTTTCCTTCGAAATTATACCCCAATTAAGCATTTCAATAATTTGAGACTTTACTTCGCTTCTATACGCAAAAGGAATGGGGTATGCTGGGCAATAAAACGGGCTAGCGTCAGTCATAACTATTTCGTGTCGATATGACTTTATAAAATCCGGACATTCAGAGAATATCGGTTGAACTTCCTTTAAAAGATTGAATAAGTGATTTTTATCGGATTCACAAGCGTTAGCTGCATCGGCAACTGCACGCATGTCATTTTCACTATACTTATGTTTAGATACGATATCATTGCCTTGGTGCTCGACTGAAATAGTCGTAGCAGCATTGCTACATAAATTAAGGCTGCGTTCATCCAAAAAGTTCGTCTCATTTTTACTGTATTCAACCACGTACTTGGTTTTATTTACGTAAAACGCGATTAAGGATTTATTAAAATCGATATTAGCTTTAAACTGTAATAACCAATCAAACCCAAACAAAATATCTCGATTTAATTCCGGTATCACTAAACATTTTACGTCAAGGTTAACGTTCGCCACTGGGACATACACACTAATAAGCACTTGCGTTTTTACCCTCTGTTGTTTACCCCAATTGCAACTGTAATCGCTACATTTGAGACCGGTAAAACAGGTATACCTTTGATACCCTCGAAATAGATTTGAAAAAAGTTTCCGAAACCGCGGTTATTTCACTTCCGCTATCTATTAAAATTTCCACGCCAACTTCGCAAACCACGGCTTTTATAACCGGCGATTTTATTATTGGTTTGCATACCGAATGTAACAGAATTAATGTTAATTTTCAAATCTCGGTTCAAGTTTTAAGAAATAGATAAAAATTTATCTTAATGGGTTTTACAAACATATGGCGATTCTGGGAACGATATAACTAATCTGGTCTTAAAGCCAAATGTATCAAGTTTTATTAGTTTTCAAGTCGAAAATAAGCCAAATTGACAAATTTATTAGGCAAAATTATGTGTTCTCCTAGATTAACGCCAAATGTGATTCTAATCTGCAGCTGCACTAGATTACGACATATGGTTGTAATAAAGTACCCAAGAACGATATAATTCCCGTTTTATGGTCAGATAACTTATATTCGAAGCATGTATGTGTTTGGGCTAAAACAATGATCACGGAGACCCGATTTTCCAAGATATAATAACACGAAATTGTATAGAATAGGAAAATCAAAGGAGATAGTTAACTATCCAATTATTTTAGGCATAAATTAGTATTTAAGTATAGAATAATTTAATTCATTTAACACCTCAACTAGCAATTATATTTTATAATTTTTAACTCTCCGCTGCTATTTTATTCTATAATTAGTTTATTACTGCTCGTCGAATGCCATTTGTTTTATTAAAATTGCAAGCGAGATAATTAAGCTTCCAAGAAAGTATTCTGCTCTATAAGGTAGTCGTAAGAACGTTCTTGGAGCAAAAATACAAAACAGTTCGGTAACAAGTTTTAATATTGTTTTATGAACGTTTGCACAATGATTTTATATGACATTTTAGCTCACCGAACAAATCTGTTTTATATTAGATTTATATTGATGTTATCTGATAC